TCTGAGAGTAGGAACAAATAAGAAATTTTCAGCACTCAAGTCAAAAAATCCACTCTAAGTTTGATAAATATGGGCCCTTGAAACACAATGACTGTAGGAACCCCAGGTTTTACAGGATCTTTTAAACAGCTTACAAGTCATGAAACAAACCAAACAAAATTCCAACATACATCAGTGTTTTATTATATTTTGTGACCAACAGTTGCACAAGTAAAATAACATCCAACACTAAATATATTAAAGTTTGCCAAATACCATCAGTCCTGGCAGCAGTGGTCAGAACAAACCTCTGCTATAGGAGAAAAACAACTGAGGTTTTAGCAAACTTATAAGGAACCGATCACCTTTATAGAATATTGATTTCTTAAACTTTAAATTTGTTTGCTTCCCCGGTGTGTAGGCTGTAAAAAATGCTAACTGAGAAAAGAATATAAATGCATAAATGGAAAACAGATACTACAGTAAGACCGTCTTCAGTTCAGTGCATTACTGATCAACCACAGTGACAAGAGTTCCAGCAATGATACCAGAGTGTTGGTCATTCACGATACAAAGGCACATCTCAGACACATTATGTTATGTAAAACTGTTCAATGATGGCAAAAATTTAAAATCTTGATTTTTAATTTTACATTCATAGTTCTTTCTGAAGGCCCTGTCACACTACATCTACAGTGAAGATGGAATTAAAAAATCAACTGGAAGCCTCATTTAGTTGTGTTTATACTACATGGTGAACAAATTGATCAAATATTTAGCTTTTATTAGTAATTTAGACTTTTTTTTCATAAGTTTTCTAAAACGTTTTAGTGTGACAGGGCCTTAACATTATAATCAATAATGAAAAAAAAGGGGGAAAAAAGACTACATCTACAAGCACCACTCTTACAAGCCAGGGTTTTATACTGTCGGTGTTTGGATTGGTGCATCTTTGTTGCCTGAACATTTTATTAACCCTGCATATGCCAGTGAGCAAAAGCAACATTACGCCCTGACTGAGCAACATGTTGTTGAGAATATATTCTCAAATCTCAGGAAAGAATCAGAGCCCGGTTGGGAGCRTGGGACTTCACGGAGCGAAGGTAGCGCCTTGCCTTCTCCGTCATTATGAGCTGGTCTTTAGTTTGTCCGCACACAACTTTCTCCCATTCTTTCGACATCTGTGAAGAGAAAAATCAGCTTCAGAATAAGAGGCAGGRATGGGGGGATAAAAAGTAGAAGAAAGTAAATGAGCAGAAGGAGTAAAACGAGGTGGTGTAGAAGCAGAGGAAGAAAAAGGAGGAAGAAARGAACAAAAAAAGAATAAAAAGGAAGAATGCTGAATTTTAATAGCCTCATTCACAAAACAGCTCAGTCTGGGACTGTGTGCACTTCCCCCTTGGATCACTCAGAGGAAAAATGGAGAAAGTGGATTCTGATTGGCTGTTGTCATGCACATTTCCACCATGTTTGATTGAGTAAAGASGCTCACAGCTGATCACTGTAATCAACCTGAAAAATTTCTTCATCAATAATCACCAGTGGTGGGCAGCTAATTCAAAAGTTAGTTGCACAAATTCTAAAATGTTTGCAAATTTGTTTAGATCCTTAGGTCAGCAAGTTGTAAAGCGAAATACATCCAACAAAACATAGCAGAAGCTAAATCTAAAGTGCAAATTGTCTCAGATTTCACTAGAGTTTATTCCAGTAATAACATRAGCCATGCTTGCACAATACTGCCAACTAGAGGCACAACAGTTTATTTTCACAGCACTGCACATGACGCTGCAGTTTGGGGAGGTGATTTGTTGAAACAGACTTTTGATTCGTGGTGTTAAATAAACAGTTGTGGATTGCTAGTTCTGCTGCTTTTTGGTAATTTTCTTATGTATGTGGTAGGGCTTTGGTAAGAAAGCATGCAGGATATTAGTGGTGGGAATCTTTTACTCTCTCACGATTTGATTCGATTCTGATTTTTGGGGCCATGATTCGATTCAAAATCGATTTTTCATTCAAAACTMAACGTGAGCCCATTTGTTGTGTTTCCAAAGTGCTTCATCTTCATTTCGCAAACATTGCAYAAAGTGAAGCTCATGTCAAACTTGGGCTCATTCAGTAAAAACCAAAATGAGCCCAAATCTTTGCATTCATTGAAGACAGGGCAAGTTGAATCTATTTTTTCTCCAGTTCTGTAGTTTCCTCTTTGTTTTGGTGCTTTCTGCACACTCATGTTCCAGAAGCAGCTGCATGATGACATCAGGATGTCCCATGAAGTTACAAAATGGAGGCTGATGGCCATTGGATTTGCTTTATTTTTTTATTTCTAAATATCGATTTTGGGACATTTTAAATCGATTCTGAACCTTTGTAAATGAGAATCACGATTCTGATGTAAAACAATTTTTTGGTGCACCCCTACAGGATGTACTGTATTAGTAATTTTCTTTTTTTGTGTTTTGTAGAACTGAAGTGATGCATTCTGGGTACAGGATAGAGAATATGAAACCGTCTTCACTTCAAAATAAGAGCATGAATTTAACTTCAGAGTTGTAAGCGTGCTGTACTCGCTTCTACCCAGAACCATTGAAGAGGAGGTACAAACTGTGCGGCTGAGYRTGGTTCTGTGTGGTTTTAACCTGGAGACACACTTCGGCCGAACCGTAGATCAGAATAGCAACAAGCACGCAGGTGGAGAAGGGCTGGGAGTGTTGCCCAAACTGTCACCCAAAAATACAATCAGCCAGATAACTCTGTGAACAAACAGACGGATGAGGGGGCGCTGTTTTCATATGATGGATTTTTCATTGTATTGATCAGAGACGGCTTCCTCCCTCCACTGTTGAAGATGATGAAAATTTAATGAAACAAGTGACACGACATTACTGTGACTTTAGACAGTTTTCTTGTTCTGCTGTAGAAAAAACTGATTATGAAATTTCAATGAAAATTTTAGTTTCGCACTACTCAAATTTAGAAAGCGCAAATCCGCAGTTTGAAAAAAATTAGTAAAACCCCTAAAGCGCAAATGAGAAATTTAGGTCCGCTTTTAGCCCTTTTGCGCTTTAGGAGACTAGTGCCCACCACTGATAATCATGATCAAATAATCACCAGCCCTACAGAACACAATCCTGAAGCTCAACTAAAGGGTAAAGCTGTCTAAATATCCAGCTGATCAGAACAACGCATTGTTCTCTCCTGTGGAAGTTTAAAGCAAACTCAGGTCTGGTTGGAACCGACGCAAACTTTGATAAAAAAATTTCTTGCTTGCAGTTTTAAATAAAAAAACAAACCAGTAAATACTAGGTAACTAGAATAAAATAGCTAACCTACAATCTACTCAAACTCTAACACTTCTCTTTCATTCCAAATTCCAGTGGATYCTGGACTACYTCACTGGACACCCACAGTWTGTGAGGACACAGGGCTGCATCTCGGACACGCTGGTCTGCAGTAYGGGGGCTCCTCAGGGAACAGTGCTGGCATCGTTCCTCTTCACCCTCTACACTGCAGACTTCACAATCAACACCCCAYACTGCCACCTGCAGAAGTTCTCTGATGACTCTGCCATAGTCGGTCTCATCACAGGTGAGGAYGACTCCGAGTAYAGACAGTGGACTCAGGACTTWGTGGACTGGTGCCAGCGGAACTACCTCCTTATCAACGCTGCTAAAACCAAGGAGCTGGTGGTGGATTTYCACAGGCGCAGACCCACCCCACTGACACCGGTGAACATCCAGGGAGTGGACATTGAGATAGTGGACTCTTATAAGTACCTGGGTGTTCACCTGAACAATAAACTGGACTGGACTCACAACACGGACGCTCTTTACAGGAAGAGTCAGAGCAGACTCTACCTGCTGAGGAGGCTGAGGTCTTGTGGAGTGCAGGGGGCGCTCCTGAAGACATCCTTTGACACAGTTGTGGCTTCAGCCATCTTTTATGGCATCGTTTTTTGGAGTAGCAGCTTATCTACAGCTGAGAGGAAGCTGGTGGACAAGCTCATCAAGTAGGCCAGCTCTGTGCTGGGATGCCCCCTCGACCCAGTGCAAGTGGTGGGAGACAAAAAAACTCTGGCAAAAATAACATCTATAACCAAAAACTCCTCCCACCCAATGCATGGAACTGTAGCTGAACTGCAGAGCTCCTTCAGTGACAGACTACTGCATCCTAAATGCACAAAAGAACTCTACCGCAGATCATTTCTCCCATCAGCTGTTAGATATAACCATCACTGCTTGCAACAATCATAAGCATACATGTTTGTGTTTGCACATCAAATAACTCTACCTCGAAATCATTTCACATACAGTATAATAACCAATAATAATAATAATTGTTCACTGTTTTTATTCCTGTACTGGACTTGGTGACTGAGACTGAAAAAATTTGCACACACCCGAGTTCGACTCAATTTGCACACACTGAGTTTAACTCATTTTGCACAAGTCTGTCATGACTGTTATTTCCTGTAACTATTTCTTTCTGCACAGTAGCTGCTTCAATTTTTTATCAAATTTCTCATTGATGGTCTGGTACGGTAATTATTATTCTTATTCTGTTTTTGCTATAATTGATATTGTCACATAGTTGTGTATTGATGTGTGTACCTGCTGCTGCTGCTACACCTGAATTTGAATTTCCGCATGGGACAATAAAGGCTGTTTCTATTCTGTTCTATGAGGGCAGGTAAAGTATTGTGTTTATGACTAAGATGAAGAATAAAGAGACAAAGAGGGAAAAATGATATTCAACAACTAAGAATAAAGAGGGAACTTACAGGAACTGGGGGCAAGGTGCTGGGAAATATGGCACTGTCACTGGGGTCCTGCAGGAATCCCTCATTCAAAATACTTTCATGCCTCCTACTGGAAAATGATGAGTGAAGAGAAACTGCAACAGGTTCCGTCTGTGGCAGAAACAGAAATAAAAATGTAAAAGAATCTAAATATGTCAAATCTATGGACAAACTATTACTTGACCTTTACTCACTAACTGTTACTTTACCTTTATGGTGCGTTTGAGTTCAGTCCTGCTGGATTTACGTTTAGATGGAGGATTCACATGACAATCCATTACATCAAGGGCCAACGATTTCCGCACTTTCTTCATTGGACGCCGATGCTGATGTCAAAAAGAAAAATTTGAGGTTTTAGTCTGAGCACGAATAGTAGCAATGAGAAACTTTGTTTTCAGTTTTTTTCTAAAACAGTAAAAAGAAATACCAAAATGTGGAAAGAAGCACTGGGAATTAAAGCTCTTAGGTCTATTGAAAATTTTTCTGACATTACACATTAGAATCCGAAGCTCTATCCTAGGGGAGTCTGGGGCCATACCACCCCACTGGAATTTTATAAGTCACACTTTTTTTCATATTTTGTCTGGTCCTGACACTTATATTCCAAAGCAACTTATCTTTGTTATTTGCATTGGGCCCGATTGGTTTTGTTTACACCGAGGACGGCAAGCTAATGATTGTAGCTTGTTGGTGGTACCATAACTTGTTTTTTGGCATCTTGTATGGGATAAAACTTGTGTCAGCAGGAACTGAATATGAATGGCTCAGATTGAATCGCAATTAATAGTTTTTTTTAAATGTCCTACAGGCTCTGACATGTTAAATAAATTTGAAACTGAGCTTTTGGAGACAAACATAAAAAAAGTCCGTTCACTACTAGGGATGGGAACCTTTGCCATGTGAATCGATTCGGTACCAATATCCGGTACCTGGGAATCGGTACCGGTACTTAAC